TAAGCTTGGCTCGAGGATTAAACCTTAAGAGGTTCTCTGTTAAAAAGATCGCCCATTGATCAATAAAAAACCTAAGGGTTTATTATATTCTGAGTCCAGGCTAATACTCGGACTGATCATTAAAGTTATGGCATCAAATTTCATTCACAAATGAAGAAGAGATGGAATTCGATACAAATCGAAGATGAATCAAACAGATCCTTTATATTTATAAGAGGTGTTTACAAAATATATTTACAATACCCACGAGGGGTCTTGCACAAAAACACAAAAACAAAACAAAGAAACCTAAATCTACTTCGGGGCCACATCCTCGGCAGCTGCATCTTCGGGGGCCGCGTCTTCGGGAACCTTCTCCTCGGGGACCTCACCTTCGTCTCCTCCGCTTCGGAGCCACTAGCTGAATCCTCGTCATCAGAAAGCAAAGCGACAACCTCTTCTTCCAAAGTCTTTTCTTTTTCAATGTCGGCTGAGAGGTCAAAGCCGCGAGCGTGCACCTCCTCGAGGGTTTCTCTCAGGGACTGTCGCCTGGTATGATCAAGTGCACATGATAGCTTAACTTCGGCCGCAGCGGAGATCTCCTGTGCCCGAGTGTTAGCGGCTTGAGCGTCAGCTCGGTACAAAGACACAAATGCCTCTGCATCAAATTTCTCCTTTGCAAGCTCAGCAACGGATTTAGCTTCGAGCTCCTCGATGTTGCGACTTCGAGCTAGGCTTTCCTCCTTTACATTTTGAAGCTGGCGTTCAATTGAAGTCAGTTTCTCCTGAAGAGTATCTTTCTCCGAGGCGAGACGGTCCATGCCTTGTTTCCACCCTAGGGCCTCGGCCTCCTCCATCTTGAGCTCCTCTCGAAGCTGCTCCACCAGCTCGCCCTTCTGCTGGGCCTGCAAAGTTGAAGTGTTAGTCACTTAATCGGACAAATGCATAACAAATCCTCAAAGGGTATATTACCTTTTCAACAAGTTCAGTCTGTTCTCGATGAGCCTTCGCCAACTCAAGTCGGAGATCCCTGATCTCCTCCTCTTTCTGAACATAAAGGCACTTAAGGCCATCCCTCTCTTCTGCGAGCTTCTTGAGCTCAGCCTCACATCAACAAGTTCGGTTCGAGACTTGGAAAATTCTTCTCGATGGAGCGTCACAGCCTGCACAAAAGAAAAATTTAGACTAAGAACAATAAAGATAAAGCGCAGGCCTAATATTAAGGGCAGAAAATTACTTGTTTGAAACGCTGCTAGGCCTCATCAAAAATAAATAAGGCATCTGGGTCGGGACCATCTTCGACCCCTGCAAGGCATTCTCGAAAGATGTCATTCCCTTCGTGGCTCTTTCCCATGTCGGGAGTTCTCATGTTCCGGGAATCTCGGAATTGACCCTCGGAGAACTCAGGACCGGGCGGTGATTCATCCACATTGATGACCCCAAGTGATCACTAGGGACATTCTCTTCTCTTTGGAGAGCCTCGGAACTGGGCCCCTCGGTCTCGCCTTCCAAATGACCTCCAAGACGAGGTGCTCTTTTGCTGCCCGATGGCTCGGTTTGCTCGAACTCCGCTCGAAGATTTCTTCAATTCTAGAATGAACTGCATCAGCCACTATCGGTTTTGCAGTCTTCAAAGCGTCAGTGCTTCCTGTTTTCCAAACTACCAACAGGCAGACATCATCTTCCCCCTCTTCTTCCTCACCCCGAAGACGTTGGGCCGTTTCTGGAGACAGGGCCACGATATCGGCCTTAGGCTTTAGAGCCTTGTTTTTCTTTGGCTTCGGGTAATTTGCAGGCGATCCCCTCTTTAATTTCTTTTCCTTGGAGGGCTTTGGGATTTCCTCTTCACCGGGCGGGGGCGGTCGCATGGCAACGGCGTCTCCGAGGCCTGCATAAAGATGCAGTAAGTATTTCACTAAGGAACACAGGAATGCAAACAAGAGAATTCACCATGGTTTTTAGCCTCCCATCGGCCCTTGGCCAGGTCACACCAGTTGTTTTCCGCATACGAGGAAGTGGAGGCTAGTTGCTGTACCCAACCTTCAAGGTCTGGGACCACACCAGGAAACCAAGTAACAGCTACACCATCGGAAAGGGATTAGATCGATAAAGGGATAAGGTCGAGAAAGAATAAGGAAAGCAGGATATAAAGTCATTACCGATAAACCTGTACTTACGTTTCATGTTCCATTCTTCGGGGAATGGAATCCTCTCAACAGGAATCGGGTCGGAGGTCCTGATTCGGACAAATCGGCGTATCCATCCTCGGTCCTTTTCCTCATCGATGCTGGAGAAGAGAGATTTCGTGGATCGGCGTTGCAGCTTTATCAGGCCACCTCGATAAAGGCGAGGGTTGTATAGCCTGATCAGATGGTCGAGGGTAAAAGGCATCCCCTCGACCTGGCTCGAGAAGTATCTGATCAGATTAACGATGCGCCAGAATGAAGGGTAGATCTGGCCAAGAGACACTTGGTATTGTTAGCAAAAATCAAGAATAACTGGATCTATGGGACCCAGAGCTGGATCTGCAGGACCCAGAGTGAATGGGTAGGTATATACGCTAAAGTACCCTGCTTTATGAGTAGTGATGTCCTCTTTAGGGGAATGGATCACTACATCTTTGTTCTCCTAGTTACAGTCCTTTTTCACCTGCCCGAGCTCATCATCGGTTATCAAACAGATGTATCGGGATATGAGCTCACATCGGCCTGGTGTCGATGCAGGTTTATCGACTTTGAAATCGGATGTTAATTCACACGACGGGGGAATACACTCCTCGATACGAGGTGGCACCACCGTTTCTGCTTCTGGCCGGCCGCGACGATGAAGAGGTTTTTTCTTTTTGGGGAATAGTTTTAGATGTTTTAGCCATTGTGGTTTAGAAATTCAAGAGAAGAGAAAAAGTTGATGATGAAGTAAGAACAAATTGAGAGAGGGGTGAACTCAGAGAAGTTGAAGGAGCTAATGAGATTTTGAGAACGACTTTTTGTGAAATAAGTTTGCAAAATTGTGAAGTTGGACTATTTATAGAGGTCGCTTAAACGTGTTGGGGAAGCCAAATAGCCCACCGTCAGCCGCCTCCAATTAATGACTTTGGGAACTACACGAAAGCGGCCTTGCAGTCACTTCAGCCGCTGACATCACGAGATTGACATCAAGATCAAGGCGCCGGAGAATCGAGGTTCAAATCGTTTCTTATCATCTTATTCTAAGAAACGCGGGGACTATCTGTATACGGTCGAAATCAGGTAAGCCCGATTCCCAGGCTCGAGGGGTCGCCTTAGGCCTGAGTTCGAGTAAGGTCGAGTTCGAGCTCGATGGACCAGACTCGAGCTCGAAGACAGAGTGCAATGTTTGAAGATTGAAGCACGATGAATACCGAAGCCGAGTATGCTCGACCCCGAAATAATGTCGTTATGGATTTGTAACAGAATGAGCGAGATTCCTGCAACGTCCCCAAAATTATGGCGCAAATCCCGGAATAGAATTGTACGATTCCGTAATAGACGGTTAGACGGCTGTCCCAATAAGATTCCCTACTGTAAATGGAAATGTACCTTATTTAGTGCTTCCCTATTATATAAAGGGGACCACAATCATTTCTAAAGATCATCTAATCATTGGCAAAGAATATATTATCTACTTTTCGCTCATTGTTCATCAGAATTGTCCTTTAAAATTTATTGTTCTTGATTCATCTCGAGGTCGATACTGCTTAAGTAAAACTGGTTTGATTCACTTATTTCTTTCATTTATTTTCTATATTCTTGATTATTAATTGGTATTGAACTGAATCACTTATCTTTAAAACCACAAATTAAATTTAATTGTTACTCGTATTTTCGAAGTAAACAATATTATTCTTATCCATGTACCAATCACCATTAAAGAAGCTCACTCAATATGTTAGTCAGTTCGCTGAGGCTAATTCAGCTAAAGGCCAATTTAACAAAAGTTGAGAAGACAGCATTTAGGTACAGTGATGTTAAAGTATATACTAATATAGACAATTACATTTCTAATGTGGGTCCCTTCTATCTCAATCTCAAGTGCCTTTCGACTCATCATTTGTTTAAAATAATCATCAAAATTTTATGCTTTAAATAGTTTATAACTTTTCAATTGACCTAGATTTCGTCATCAATCACAATATGCTATTGGCTGCGAGACTTTAATATGATTTTCAAATTGCATATAGCTTCTCCTGAGATTGACTTCGAACTGTTTTCTTCTTATACCATACCATTCCCACCTTAAATAATTCCTGCCCCAATCATCACAATTTTTTTTTTTCTATGTAAGCATCATTACATGTACTGTTCAGCAATTATCCAAAAACTCAACCTTCATTAAGATTTCATGATAAGCATGTATTAAATGGTCCATATGCATTACATACATGTATGATGCCGTTTCTTTCGATAAATATCAAAGGCGGATCCAGGATTTTAAGGTGATGGGTGCACTAGTGGATTCAGAATTTATATTTGACGGGTTTAAATTTAGTATCTTACCATGAACCCCCTACGTATACACTTTTGAAATTGTAGGTTCCAAATTATATTCTTTTTGAAATTTGAGTAATTTTCACATATATATCGATACTTCGTGCCCAAAATAAGACCGTCTGAAGTGTGATTTGAACTGCCACTTTCACTTGTAGTGGTGCACCCAATAATTATTGCACCATAGGAGTCTTTAAGCATGGGTGCACACACATATATTTAAGTAATTTTAAAGAAATATAACATTGTTATACATGGTTTAAGGAGAGGAGCATGAATTCACGTGAACCCATACCCCTTAACGTGGATACGCCCCTGGTAAATATGAATCAACTATGCCTCAATCCCAACGAGTTGGAATCGACTATATGAATTATTTTCATATATGCCTTCATTGTGTTTCATAAATGAATAAACTATCTCATTATCTGCTTTCATCAGCTCCTCACAGTACAGTTAACTCAATGTGGCTGAATCTGGCCCACTATTCTCAAGCCTTGTGCTCCTATAAAAACCTGCCCATAACTTAAAACCTTAACAAATTTTATGTGCAAACTAAATTAAAGATTCTCTCCAAAAATATTATCACCTTCAATTTTAGTCAATCATGATTTCATCAGAGGCTGCAGCAATCCACTACTTAGCTCAAGAAAACAACCCCTCATCACTTCCCCTTGATTTCGGCTTCATGCACAAAAACTTATCACCATTCCAATACAACACATTCTTAACAAACAACAATATACAAAATTATCAGGCCCCTTTTCCTGTTCAAGACTTGAGCCAACAGCCGTCATGCATCAGCAGTAACTCGACCTCTGACGAATCGGAGGAACAACAAATCAGAATTATCGATGAACGAAAGCAGAGGAGAATGGTATCTAATAGGGAATCAGCTAGAAGATCAAGGATGAGGAAGCAGAGACATCTTGATGAGCTATGGTCTCAAGTTCTTCGCCTTCGAACTGAGAATCAGAATCTGATGAATAAACTAAACCAAGTCACAGAATCTCATGACAAAGTCATCCAGGAGAATATGCAGCTCAAGGAAGAGGCCTCTGACCTTCGTCGGATGATTACTGACATTCAAATTGACAGTCCTTTCCATGCTTTCAGTGACCTCGACGAGGTTACGTGCAACACTGCTCATCTCAAGGCTGAATCATCAAACCAATCCACTACATAGAATTTATTTATCTGCTTCTCTGATAATGAGTTGTTTTACTACTAACTTCAAGGATTCAGAGAGCAAAGGAAGAGAAAATGAGAGTGAGCTGGAGATATTTTCTAAGTTTTTCCTCCTTCATGTTGTTAATTCTCTTTTACCTGAATGCAAACATGAGTCTTTAATTCATGTGCTGAGTATCATTTTAGAGTTAAGCCACTGCAGTTTTCATGCGTATATAACTTCATACTTTATACGACAATCACTATATAATAACCATTCACTAATTTTTGTATTATGTTATAATATATAACCTCTATAACAGCACTTCACTATAGCATTCAAAAAATATCGGAACAAACAAGACAGTTATAGAGAGATTTGATTGTACTATTAATTTGGACCTCTCCTCTCGCCGCATAACTCACTGTCTGCACATTGAATCAAAATCTATGAAAGTGAAAACACCAGTATGTCATGATCGACAAATCAAAGTCTCCATATGGTTTGTTTACTACTTCAGACATTAGATTACCACCTGAACTAAAAATAAAAGGGCAGCCCGATGCACTAAACTCCCTCTATGCGCGGGGTTCGCGGAAGATCCAGACCTCTAGGGTCTATTGTACGCAGTCTTACCATGCATTTCTGCATTTCAGATTACCACCTGAACTGTAATATCAAAGTTCTTCAAAATTTTCAACAGGAAAACAAAAACCAAAAGATTTGGCGAGTTGACAAACTAAAAGCATCACTAACATTTAAATTTGCATATGAATTGCAGAACAAAGAAGGTTAAAGGAAATTGAAGTCAGCCAAAGGGTCCCATAATCAGTGAGTCCTGTATTGCACAGAATAGCACAAGCAACAAGACAAATGGAAGTGGAGCTGCTGGTAATGGTGTGGTGGCTCATAATTCAAAGGGACTACTATAAGAAGCAAAACATATTGAAAAGGCAATCCACTATGATTCCAGCTACTGTTTTTAACTTTTCTAAGGACAGAGGACATCAGGTCATGTCATCCAAGAATTTGTGGTTTGTAGACTATACAGAAGAATCCATTCTTCAGGTGTTATTGGTTTGCTTTATTCCTTCTATCTTTCAACGTTTCTTGCGTTAGCAAATCCACATATTCTCAGTCATATGTTACAGGCGCGCGCACACACACTCTCTCTATTATCTACAGTTTCATGTTTCTTTAATTAATAAGATCATAACCCTGAGGGGTAACTCAACTGGTAAAGGCCTGAGGACAAAGTCCTTCAGGTTGCCAGTTCGAGCCCCCGCAGGGCCACTGGAGGCATTACAATCTCCAGGGCCCCGTGGAACTAACCGTGGTGCACGCATTGAAACAGCGGGTCCTGGTGGGTACAGCTAGTCGGGTTCGCAAAGCGATGCCCGGAAACCACCGTTAAAAAAAAAAAAATTAATAAGATCATTTAACATACAACACACTGTTGAGACAAAATAATCCATCCTACTTATTTATGCACTTCCTCTGGAATAATAGGTTATCATGCAAAGAGATATCAACTAGCAATCAAACTAAAATGAAATGTACAGCAGAACACAGACTAATTAACGTAGCAGTGAGCAATCTAACAAAAAAAAGCGACTGATTGTGGTATCAGGAAGGGATCAACAAAAGCTGGGATGATAAAACACACCCCCTTGTTCTAAAAAATTTAAGATGTAAATAGGATAACAAAAATCAAAGCTATTAAATGATATTATGCAACTCATTTAGCACTACACTTGATATTTCTACCCATTTGGAACATAGGAAACACATTTTTTAATTACTCATTCATAGTAGTTGTCTAACAGGAAAACTCTTTCCAACAAGCAAGTAAGCCGGCACATATGCTAAGTGGTAACACGATGTATAGAGTTGATACATGCTCGGTGTTACTAAAAATCATGGAGTTTCATTAAGCTTGCTACTTATTTGACAAAATAAAAAAGGGCAGCCCGTGCATGAAGCTTCCCGTGTTCATAGAGGATCCGAAAGGGTCACTAGCTAATTGCACGACCGAATTGGTGAGATATAGGCCATACAATACAAATATAACTTTACTATTACTCCAAGGCTCCCTTTCTTACTTCTTTGACATATAGCGCGAATTTAACCAATGCCACCAATTCTTACCAAAAGAAATATAAAAGTAAAACGCTAAACACCCCGTTAATGTATATATCTGGAAGAAATTGTTCAGATGGTTCTTTGATAATAATAGTTTGTCTAAGCATTTTTTTTAGTTCATTCAATCTCACTTCCCATGTTCTTGAACTAGTTTCATCGAATCGGCTGGAATGGGAATTAGTTTGAGTTCCATCCAATTGGTGCTCCTTGTTTTATCTTACTTATAGACTGATAGTATCCTGAAGATACAATAGAAGTGTTTAACCAAAAAATAGATTTTTGGCCAAAGCTAGAATTTGGAAGAATCGGATTACTGATAATCGAAAAAGTATGTAAAAAAAGAGACTTGGGAATGATATTATCAGAAAGCAAGTAAATTAAAATATATTTCAATAGTAACTTATGTCTACAATTGTTTGTGACTTTCCCTTTTATAGCCATTTTGAGGAATACAGACTTTACCTTTGTCATAACAAGGCAATTATGGGCAATTAATGGCTTTAAATATTACGTTATGTAATTATATACATTAAATACATATTCTCTAACGTTTCTCGCATTTAATGCTCATTAAATGCTGTATCTAGGCTCTTATTTGCTGTCAGATTCATTCCTTTGATTCTTCACGATCTTTGACCTTTAAATGCCTTGAACGGGTACGACCATTGAATGTCTCCCATGACTGCCCGTGTCTCTTCTGTTTAACTTGCTCGTGTCTGTTGCTGCTCGTACCTATTGAACAACTTTACTTCTTTGACTGTTTGACCAGTCTACGTGTCATGACACGTCATATCCAATATGCAGAGTAAATTTTTCCCAATACAAGAAGAGCTTTTATCTTATAACAGAGAGCAGAAAGTGTAAATGGAAATGTTGCTGTAGAGCGTTAATTCATTTTAGAGATTGCACCAAATCATGAAAATTATGAAAACATTCCTGTCAATTAATAACATGGAATATTTATATAATGCTGTAAGAGACAAATACGAAGATTTGATGGCTCCTGGATTTAGATCCTGCAAACGTAAAGTGCATCAATTTTAGCTCATTTTTCAATTCTATTCCACATCGACAATCAAAGAATGATCTACCTTGTTTATAATTGAATAGTAATTTGTATTGTTCGCCGAGCCAAGTAACGTGGGCTTGTTACCTGAGTGGGGGCACTGAATTGGTGGGATGTTGGGCTGACTCAGAAGGTAGGACATTGTGGGCTATTATCTGGCCTGCCCTGTCCAAGCGTAGAGTTGGGCTACGTGGCCCAAGTGAAGACATGGGTTGCTTAGCTCCTAAAGAGGGGCGGAATGCGTGAGGCTGGTTTTACAGAGCAACGAACAGCTTCCGCTCTGTGCAGTGGAAGGATAACGGGCCAGTGTTCACAGCGTCCAACAAAAGCCTGATGGGCTGCTCCAATTAAACCACCATTTTTTTGTGAATTGAAGAAGTATGTATTTTTTGTTTTACTGTATGTGTTACAAGTGTTTTTGTAGTTGGTAACATTAATCATTCAGTTAACGAAGACGCAGCTTAGTGTATTTGTCTTCTTTGGTTTATGAATAGAGGTGGCGGACGGCGGTCAGTAATGGTTATGGGCTTATGGCATCTTCTAATGGGTGAGTTGTTAATTGGGTAGCTAACTTAATTAAAATACTTTTTTATGGGAAATTACCAGCTATGTCCATTTATAAGTAGCTCATTACAAAAATTGGTCAATTGATAAAATATTACTAATATTAGCCAAATTAGCCAATTAGCTATTTGTAGCAAAAAATATCAAATTTTTGCTTTGTTTTGAGTGGGTGTTATTATAATAGATTGGGCACAACTTAAGGAGCTTGAATCTCAGTTTTGGGATGATTTGGTGAAGTTTTGAGGTGGTTTGAATTGAAAATTCGAAGTAAAAGCTGAACATGAAAAAAAAAATGATATGTGTATCACACTGTGTATCATTTGTGTATCACATATGTATCATATTTGTATCAATTGTGTATGACATGTATATCCATGTATACCTGTGTGTGTGATACATGCGTGATACATGTTTGATACATGTGTCGCAGAAGACTTTTTTGAACTCGATTTAATTACGAATTTTGATACAAATCAGTCCAAATCTCCTCCAGTCTTCCTCAAATTTTGTATATTGACTTGTCTATATATTTTCAATGAATTTCAACTATACCCATCGAAAAAGTTCATTTTTTGTTAGATTTTTGGAATATTGTATAGATTTTTGTATTTCATCACCTTATTTGCTACCCCGTCCATGAAATTTCCTTTCCGTCTTGTGTCTAATGTTGCTAATCACACTTAAAAATATGGAAGGTGATTTTTGCATGTGATTCTTTGAGAGAAAGAACCCTATTATTTGGGTTTTCAATTTTTGTTGGCTAGTTTTGGTAAGTCTATGACTAATGGCTAGAGGTTGGTAAGTTGAGATTTATTTGGGACATTTGCGTAAGTTTCCCTTTTTTTATCCTATCTTGTATAGAAATTATGGTTATGGTGGTCTGATGGTAGAATAGTTGTATGATGGCTATATGTTATTTGTATGTTTTATGTATTACTGGAAATATAAAAATATATACAGTAATATATCTATGTATCTAGTTGTATGTTTTTATCAGATTGTACACAAATTTATATATATATATCTATATATATATCTATATATATATATCTATATATATATATATCTATATATATATATATATATATATCAGTGTATAATTTATGTCTATCGATTCAAAAAAGTAAATAATAAATTCAGTTTGGCTATTTGTATAAAGATTCCATACCAATAACTTCTATGGTTGTTTATGCCGTATGTTAGGGTACGAATTTTTGATTTAACTTAGCCGTTTTTTCAGTTTATCGGTCCCGTTTATAAGTTCTTATTGACTACGACCTATAGGAACTAGGCTATCTATCGCTTTTAGCCATGTTTGTATAGGCTCGTATCCCGCGTAGTAAAATGGACTATCATCTAAGAAGTTGGTGTCACGATCCAATCCTCCCTCCGTGAGATGTCGTGGCGGCACCTA